GATGGGGATGATGATCGCCTCCTTCGTGGTCCACACAACAAAGTAGCAGAGACTCCGGTCTGTGATGTGCAGCTGCCCTTGGACCTGGTGCCAGTATGGGTGATTCTCCTTGAGAATATATGACCCACCCTCCTCACGGAGACAGAAGGATGGTAACTGGACTGCCTCCGCGATGGTCATGTTCCTCTGGCTGTGTGGACACTTCACCTCCAGCAGGGCAGATGGCTGCACAAGTCCATCGGGTGATGCTCCCAAAACACCCGACTCACTCACAAAGAGACCAGACTCGATTCGAACACTGTCACTTGATGCCTCCACAAAAGCCTTCACCCCTTCGGCCTCGTTTACAACCCCCCAGTTGACAGTTGGCGATGTCTCTGGCCAGTGGGTTGTATGTCTCCTCTCGCTGTTGGTAAAGTTGAGACACCGGCTGGACTACTTTGGAAGTGCCAGGCTTCCTCCACTGGCACTCAACATCTGTGGAGCTGATCTGCCACATGGAAAATATTGCCAATGCTGCAGCGTGGCTGCATTTGTACATCTCCTGTGCACAATCACAGACAGCGCTCTGCATCGTGCCATCGTCTCCCATGCAGATCTGTAAAAATAAAGTAAGTACCATTTGTTAGCATGCTATAATAGATTGAATGAGCAATAATACAAGGATGGTCCGGATCTGGGGGTGGGAGGGTTTATTTTTCCATAGTTTTGTCCTCTTGTCTGATTGTTGTTATTGTTTGTTTTTTCTGTATTTTTTGTAATTTGTGTTGTATTGGTTGTGATTGTACATTGTATTTTTCTAAATGTGTATGAATACATTTTTTAAAAACATTTGATCAACAATAAAAAAGGATTTGGTCAGGATCTAGACTCAGTGTGTAGTTTATTAATTAATCAATGCTCTCTACATTAGGAAAACACATACCGGTGTACCAGAGGGAGTCACACACAGCTGTGCCTAGATAACCAAAATCCTTGAATCGACACACAGCAAATAAACTCAAATGACACAACGACAAAAAGGAGATCACACATACAGTATAGTCGATATAAAACTGGCCGCTTCAATCTGAAGAGCAACTAAAACAAAACACGGGAGTGTACCTTGTTCTTGTGAACACTAATGTTATCCACAGCATACACAGAGACCACGAAGTTCTTAAGGAGAAAACTAGTTGTTAAAACAAAACACGTTACTGTACCTTGTTAGCTAATGTTAGCTAGCTGACATTAACGTTACACATTGCACTCATATTACTCACCGAAACCTTGTAAAGCCGGTCCCGCATGCTGGCTCTTACAGAACCGACTAACTCCCCTTTCAGATAGGTACAGCTCTCAACGTGCCCAGACTTGTAGTGATTTTCACCTCGTAAAATACTTTTATTCTCATTCTGAAAGAATGTGGTGAAATGTGCTAACGTGACGGCCATCTTTATGTTGGTGACGCGTATTGTGCGAGACCAGAGACATGTAGTTCACTGAGCGGTTTCACACGAAAAAATGTGTAACTTCACAGTTTTACGACACATTTTTATTTTTTTGACTTGCAAAATGTTCTTTTAAATTGACAAACATCATATGTGTCATTCGTGGCACAATTCAAACGGGATCAAAAGATAACCTTTCTCTCTCCATTGACTTCAATGTATAATTTTCCGCTTCCGGGGTCCCATGGAGGCTTTCGGAAGGGGAGGGACTTCGCCTCTCTATAGAGGTGAGATCTTGCTGACGTTGGTGGATCCGAGTCAAGCAGTAAACTTACATAGACTCAATAATTTATGTTAGGTCAATTAGTAGGTCTGAGTAATTTGCCGGAATAAATTAGTCTTACACTAATGGCGCGTTTCCACTGCAGCGGGGTAGCCCCGTTTAAGCGTCCCTAAGCGTCCTCGCTCTGGCCTCGGGCTGCCTCGCTGGCCGGCCCAGGCCGTGGCGCATTTCCATTACAGTTTAGGACCTGGGGTAGCAACGCAGTGTAGGCGGGGCGATCGGCTTTGTTTTTGTTCACATTTCGAGTTGTTCCGTCGAGCTCCCGCTGGATTTGATCATCCCCAATGAGATGTAGGAACGTCGTCACCTCCTCGGTCGACCACGGTGTGCTTTTCTTATTAGACGTAGCCATTTTTGTAGCTCATCCGTTTACAAAATGCTGTTTATAAAAATGCTGCAAGCTTGCTTCTAAATATATATGCGACGCTAGGGATGAACTCGCGCGCGATCTTGTGACGATTCTCTCTGACCAATCAGCAGTCGAGAGTGTTGACGTCACTAGTTCAGCCCTGGCCCTGGTCTGAGGGAACCACGATTTTATGAGGCCGGAAAAAGAGGGAAAAAGTACCCGCTGGCCGGTACTAGGCTATATGGAAACGCCACCAAAAACCGGCCTGGCAGCTTGAGGACGGTTAAGGACGCTTAAACGGGGCTACCCGCTGCAGTGGAAACGCGCTATTACACTGTAAGGATTAGACACATATATTGTGTTTATGTGATGACATTTGGAGATGTTTAAACTCAATGAGAAAATGCGTTAGCATTCGCGCTAGCGTTAGCATACATGCTAGCGTTAGCCATCCTAGCCTGTATACATGCTTATTGCACAGCTAGCATTAGCTATATTTACCTTGTTTACACTTAGCGGTCCTATGTGTTAATCTGTGTATGTTACACTTGCATGTCATTAAGTGCCTTGTAACTTCTTTTTTTTATAGTTTCACTCAGTTTGAATGTCAGTGGACTGTGGTCAATAAAGGAGCATGGCTGCTCATTCCCTGGCTCTCAAAAGAGTTTGGCTGGTTTGGTTTAATCTCTACCGCTGACCGTAGTAGTGACACTAAAAGTCTTACAAGTTAACTAATGTGCTGCAAAAGCTCTGACATGTTAACTAGTTACAAAAAAGAAGGAGAACTTGTTAACTAGTGGCATACATTTGTCTGTACTAGTTAACTAGTAGCATCCAGAATCACTCACTAGTTAACTAGTAAAGGCAAAAGGTTCACTAATTAACCAGTTGACGCCTCTTTTTACCTTACTAGTTAACTAGTGGGGCTCAAAATGTCTTCACGTTAACTAGTGAACCCTTTGCCCTTTACTAGTTAAATAGTGAGATACATTTAAATTCAACTAGTGAACTAGTGAGGCTTAAAATGTTCAATAGTAGCACTAGTGGATCCCAAATGCGCACTAGTCACACTAGTTGCACATAATGCTAATGAGGAGGAGGGAAATAATGCATCGAGCTCTCCTATTGGCCCTAAGCTGGAGCGCCACCCAGCCCAAATAGTTTTCTTTAAGAGCTTAACACTAGAACCACCAGAGGTCGCTGTAAACCTAAAACCGCCAACGGGTAAAATGTACCCGCTATTGATTTTCAAGGTAGGCTACAATGTTCTTTTATTTATCATACAGAACAGTGAGTTTTTTTCGCACAGGAATGAAACTTATACCAATAGAATCTGTGGACTCTCAGCTTTTCATATGATATAGATTGTGCAGATAGCATGAAGTATAAAATATCGCTAAGAGTGCTGATTTAAACGCTTGGTGTTAGACTTGTGTTTTGTTTAGGTACAAATCTCTCTCTCTCTATCTATCTATAACTATCTATCGATCTATCTGTAATGTTCTGTTCTATGGACATATAATTGACTACATAAATAGACGACGCGGACTACTTCTCTCATTGCGAGTATCCATCTTCATTCAACTGGCACGTAACCTGCACACATGCATTACGTCCTCAACGTGAGCTCAGTCATCCAAAATCTTGTATTCTCCAAGATGTTACATTATCTATAACTATCTATCTGTATATCTCTCTCTCTCTCTATCCATCTATCAATATATCTATCTATCTATCTATCTATCTCTCTCTCTCTCAATCTATCTCTCTATTTATAAGGAACCGCAGTAGACAAAAGGCGTTGCTATAGCAACACGTCATGTTTACGCTGCATTTTCTATGAGGTAAATATTACCCGCTGGCGGATATAGGTATAAATGGCATTTTTTTTGGCGATTTTTTCAATCTGACTTCATATTGACAATTGTTAACAACAGAGGGTGCTACATAACACACTTTCAAGAATAGTCACGGACTGGGAGACTTTAATATGTTATTGAAAAAAAGTTACATAAAATCAAAAAACAGCTGCGGGTAAAATTGACCCGTTGGCGGTTCTAGTGTTAAATACACTGTGTTTTAAAATACAGTCATATGACTATATTTACAAAAGTATAAAACAAAAGTATTTTTGTAATTATGATCATATTAAGCGGAGGAATAACGAAACATCAGAGACAGTTATGCTTACTCTGCTATCAGACTGTATCTCAAATTAGGTCAGAACATTGAAGACTTTGTTAAAATGAGAAAGTTGCCTTAGGACTGCAGACAGGAAGTCATATGATCATAATTACAAAAATACTAGTGAGTGATTCTGGGTGCTACTAGTTAACTAGTACAGAAAAATGTATGCCACGCCCACTAGTTAACTAATTCTGCTTCTTTTTTGTAACTAGTTAACATTTCAGAGCTTTTGCAACGCATTAGTTAACTTGTAAGACTTTTAGCGTCACTAGTACGGTCAGAGGGTCACTAGTTCATCAAAAAGCTTACAAGTTGGGACTTTGGTGCTAGTGCTGCTCCTGGCGTCACTAGTAAGGCTTATTTGGTAACTAGTCGGACAAAAGGGCCACTAGTTGCTGAAAAAGAGCGACTAGTGTAATGTTTTATAATAATAAAGCAGAGTGACAAATTAGTTTGACCATATATCTAACAAGTGAAATCAAAGAGCCAACTAGTGTAGGCAGCTGCCGTCTGATATCAAGGATATGGAATAAATACTCAAATGGCTTGTCATACTTGAGAGTTAATAACACTTGGAATCTGACTGTCAACTAATGTAGTATTTCCCTGCAGACACTAATCCAGCAGCTGTAGTTTTAGACAGAAAAGTAAAGTTTTTATTATAAATCTATGTTCGTCTGTTAGTCCTCACCTGGTGAAGTTGTGTAGATCAGCAGAGTTGTGTGAGGGTCTTCTGACTTCCAGCAGATGCTTCACGTCTGATAAAATATGGTGTTGTGAGGTGACTTATCAGTCACTTTCAGATACTCTCCTCCCCGAGCTCCACCACGACACGCCTACTGACCTCACACAGCCTTTCCCTGTAACAGGCCGGAGTCAGGCTATAAACCTTATGAGAAATAATGTGAAACGCACATTTGATGTTCTTCAGTCTGTACTCTTTTAAAGACACAACGTTGTTTTCTGTAACTGGTACCAATAAGAGCTTTTTTTTTTAAAATGTGTCACCATTTGTATAAAAATGTTCTCTATTTATTAAATGTATCATTATTATGATAATAATAAAAATTAAAGCTGCAAGCAGCGTCCACAGGCTGTTGTCCGCACGTCAACGTGTGTGTCTAGGTGTCTCGAGGACTCGGCCGTTGGCAAACGTGGGAAGTTTCAGGCCGATCGGACAATGTCTTTGAGTTACAGCAGTAACACAAACATTGTGTTTGATGGCGGGTGATCTGTCGCCATGGCAACGGCATTTGATGACACCCCATAATATGCTTAGATGTGTTGAGGTCTGCATCATTATCAAACCTGTGAAGTTTTGTGCCGTTTGGAGCCTGTTAACTGGAGTTATGAGAACATCGTGTTTCACGGCGACCATTTTGTTACCATAGCAACGACATTTGACGAAATTTCAAAACTTACACATATATGTCTCGAGGACATATGTGAAATTTGAACACTTTTTTACCATTTACACAGGAGTTATATCAATATCGTGCTTAACGGCAAGGGAAGCGTTGCCATGGCAACAGCTTTTGAGGAAAACTCACTATTGTCATATTGAGGTGTTGAGGGCCGGACCATTAACTGTCATCTGAAGTCTGGTGCAGTTTGGACCATTTTCCATTGACTTAAGACAACATTGTGTTTTATGGCGAGGCATGCGTTGCCATGGAAACGGCATATGGTGACATCCTACAATTGGCGTAGAGCTGTTGAGGGCCGGACCTTTAGCCATCATATGAAGTCTGGCGCCGTTTGGACGATTTTCCATTGAATTACAACAACACCATGTTTCATGGCGAGGGATCTGTCGCCATGGCAACGGCATATGATGACACCCCATAATTGACGTAGAGCTGTTGAGGGCCGGACCATTAATGATAGTCTGAAGTCTGGTGGCGTTTGGACGATTTTCCATTGAATTATGACAACACCCTGTTTCATGGCGAGAGATCTGTCGCCATGGCAACGGCATATGATGACATCCCATGATTGGCGTAGAGCTGTGGAGGGCCCGACCATTAATGATAGTCTGAAGTCTGGTGCTGTTTGGACGATTTTCCATTGAATTACAACAACATCGTATTTTTTGGCGAAGGAAGCGTTGCCATGGAAACGACAAATGGTGAGATTTCAGATTTCACGTAGAGCTGTTGAGGCATGGACCGGTGATATAAAAGTGAAGATTGGGGGACGATGGGACCGTGTCAATTGGAGTTACAGCGACACCGTGTTTTATGGCGAAGGATCCGTTGCCATGGTAACGGCAAATTAAGTAACATCAGATTTGACCTAGAGCTGTTCAGGGCCGCAGTGTTAACCATCATGTGAAGGTTGGTGGCGTTCTGAGTATGTCAGTTTGAGTTATGATATCATCGTGTTCCATGGCGAGGGATCGCCTAGCATCGAGCGAACGCGAACTTTGGCGCAAAATCACGGCTATGCCGTACGGAAAAAAAAAAACTGCGTGATAACAATTTGCCGCCCATGTCTCGAGATAATACCCGACGAATTTCGAGTCGTTCGGATAAAGTCCCGAACGCGATACAAAATTCGTACGGAGGACGAAAAACACCAAATTCAAAATGGCTGACTTCCTGTACGTTATTTTATCAACACATCCTCACTCCCAGGTCGGCCTATGTTGACGTTATGTCAAGTCCCCTGTCGGCTTTTTCCAACGCAAGGGGGGGGCCTTAGCGTCCATTTTCAACGCAAGGTGGGGGCCCTTAGCGTCCATTTTCAGCTTTCCGGGATGTCCATATGGTTCTATGGACGCTCATGGAAGCACGGCATTCGTTTGTGTCGGCTGCCCTTAAAGGCAATGTGAGCGTCCATTCCCATTGGATAACGGAGAATTGTACACCCGGAAGTAAGTATTCCCCTTACTGTCGATTGATTTTACAGTGATATCTGCACTACTCATCGACTAAAAAACACCAGATTATCCTTGTTAATTACACAACATTGATTGGTTTAAATTGTGTGCAATGCTTTTGTATTTTTCCCCTTCGATTCGGAGAAACAAATATGTTTTCGGAGTAAAGGATGGCAGAAGACACTACACTACCCAGAATCCCCAGCTATCGTTTGGACTACACCATGTGCTCTGTTTGACGTCACGTGATCTTCAAATTTCTCCCTGCAGAAAAAGAAAACATGGCCGAACTTCGTTTTATTCTCGATGGAAAATGCCTATTTTAAAGTTAGTTTGGCCATTAAAATGCGTTTTGATGTCATTTGATGCGAGAAATATGAGTTGTTATTTCAGATTATGTGTGCAGTGGATGTCCATGATCTTTAGTTTGCTAGTTATTACGAAGATTACTTCAGGAAATTGCGTCCATAACGTTTTCATTGTTACCAAGGTGGTTGCTAGGGACGCTGCTATCGATATTATTTCTGTTATGTTGTGTAACTGTTTAATGGTGTTATCTTTATTGCTACCCCCTTCCCCGTCAATGTATAGTGTTGGTCCACAGCGAAAACATATTAGTTTAACAAAATCCGCATCTAAAGATAGCCTACGTTATTTTCCCCTGTGCAATTTCAGTCTCACATCTCACAGCACATCGTCATGAACAAATAACGGAAACAGACCGAAAACATTTAAAAAAAAATACAATAATACTTTATTCCGAGTGTGCTTGCTTTTCTCTTTGAAAGTCATCACATACCGGCATTGTAATACACGGTTCGGCTGCATTAAATATTACATATCTGCCGTAGTTCTGTATTTATAGAGCCCTGATGAGAAGACTTCTAGACAAACATGAGGAACTGAAAACGTGACGTGGATCATAAATATATCAGCCATTAAACAACATCTTACATTTCTTTTCACACAATACGTCTCCTTGCAGTATCAACACTAATTCGGCTGACTTTTATATTTGATCCAATTGGTAGATAGGCTGTATTTACACCATAAAGGTGCACAGCTGATATAAAGGGACACCTAGTGGTTAAAGCATGTTATTGAATTTCATTATTTTTATTATTAGATATTAATAGGATCCCTATATAGTATATTCATTACTCGTTATTCTCTACTAATAGTTAATTAAAGACTGTATATAATGACTATTTTGCACATCCCTTTCAAGATTTCAAGATTTTCTAAGGTTTATTGACATATCATATAGGCCTACACAACTATGGTGTAGTTCTGCATTGAATGACAAAACTTGGGTCGCAGGTTCCTCAATAGTGCATTACAAGACATCTATCAATATTTGTGCGTACCTCCAGCAATGTTAACTATGTTGAAGCACTTATTTTAACTGATATTATACATAATGTATTATACTCTTATAAGATGTATGTAGATATTTCATCTCCGACCTTGTCAGGTATTGAACAATCAATAAATAAAGAACACAGAATTGTTGAATATAAAACACAGAATTTGTGTGATTATACTAAATGATTTACAAATAAACACCACTGCATATTTAACTGTTACACATGCTGATGTAATGCAAATGTTCCAACTTGAGATCAATAAAGTATATCTTATCTTAAGCTGATCGATGGCTATACTGCCATATTTGCAAAATGTGCCGCTGAACCTTAACAAGTGCATGTTTCAGGCTTATCAATTAATGTAATGTAATGTAATGTAATGTTATCAATTAACAACAGGGGTCACAAACATAAGACCAGCTGTTAAATAAAGCTCTTCTGACCTTAGCTGGCATGTGTGTATATATATATTAATGCTGCCCATTATGGGCACAAGCAATTTTCACCCATTTATTAATTATATGTTTTAAATGTGAGTGTTTCCTATCCCCTAAACCTCCAGGGATGTACACAGTTCAATACTGGCAACTTCTTATTATGGGAAATACGAAAACGTCTTTTAAAACTACAACTCCCAGTAGAGACGTGCCATAGATACAGAACATGTTGCGAAACAGAATAGCCAGCATTTGTAGTTCTGGGGACGGGGTGGGGGAGGGGACGCGGTGGACCCGTTCAAATCCAGTTTTGGACAGTCTGCCGTGCATGGTTCCATCCCATTTCAAGTGCTGTTCGAGGCTCGGCGTAACCCTCGGAGCACACTCTCCAATCACAGAGCTTGAGGACTATCACGGGGTTTGTCAAACAGAGCACATGGTGTAGTCCAAACGATAGCTGGGGATTCTGGGTAGTGTAGTGTCTTCTGCCATCCTTTACTCAGAAAAAACATTTGTTTCTCCGAATCGAAGGGGAAAAATACAAAAGCATTGCACACAATTTAAACCAATCAATGTTGTGTAATTAACAAGGATAATCTGGTGTTTTTTAGTCGATGAGTAGTGCAGATATCACTGTAAAATCAATCCACAGTAAGAGGAATACTTACTTCCGGGTGTACAATTCTCCGTTATCCAATGAGAATGGACGCTCACATTGCCTTTAAGGGCAGTCGACACAAACGAACGCCGTGCTTCCATGAGCGTCCATAGAAGCATATGGACATCCCGGAAAGCTGAAAATGGACGCTAAGGGCCCCCCCCTTGCGTTGAAAATGGACGCTAAGGCCCCCCCCCTTGCGTTGGAAAAAGCCGACAGGGGACTTGACATAACGTCAACATAGGCCGACCTGGGAGTGAGGATGTGTTGTATTTTATACCCCTCCAAGAGGCTTTTTGGTTAGTCTCCGCACCCTAGATATGCGTAGCAAGTTTCGTTCGTTTACGTGAAAGTTAAAGGGGGCGGAGTGGGCGTGGCCTACGCAATTTTTTACGCAAAGTTCCGGAACCAATTACACATCGCAA